CTGGATATGTGCTCAGTCGCGAGGCAGTGCGCCGCTTTGTGGTGGAAGCGCTGCCCGATCACAAGCTATGCCAACAGGATAACAGCGGCGCTGAGGATGTAGAGCTAGGCAAATGCTTGGAGAATCTGAATGTGACAGCTGGCGATTCTCGTGATGTGAATGGGCGAGGCCGAATGTTTCCCCTTAGACCGGAGAAAATATTAATACCTGACAAGAGCCCTAATTTTTGGTACTGGAGTTATATCTACTACAAGACCGACGATGTGAGTTGCGGAAGTGGAATACGATTACTCTTTTCCTATATATATGTACATCTCTCGTTCAGGGTCTCAATTGCTGTTCGGATAATGCGATTTCTTTTCACTATGTCCCGCCCAATGTCATGTATGCACTGGACTATCTGATCTATCACTTAAAACCATTTGGTGTGCTGAGAAGAGAGCCATTGCCGGGCAAACTAAAAGTGGGTGAGTTTATGCCGCCGCCAAAGGAAAAACCCGCCAATAGCATCGAGGATTCTGTGGATGATTATGACAGATTATATACTACTAAACAGCCAATAGAACCAGATTCTATAGAAGTGCATTAAAACGAAGACGACTACGAGGAGGAGCTCAAAACGAGAAACAATTTGCGAACGGCGAGAAAGCTTCAAATTCTCAGAAGTATTAATTTTTAAATTGAAAAAATGATTACAAGAACAAGACATAGTTTTCGCTAATAATCAATAAAATATTTTAAATTCAATTACCTATTAATCTCAAATACATATATTAAATAAAATATGTATTTGAAATATTCGAAACGGAAATATAATTTTAAAGTTTTAATTCAATTATTATTTTAATTTTTTTTAATCATATTTTTAATATTTCATAATTTACACTTGCACTATTCACTGATATTTGCTGTTGTAATATAATTTTTATCACTTTACACTTTTTAATCATATTTCTAATATTTCATAATTTACACTTGCACTATTCACTGATATTTGCTGTTGTAATATAATTGTTATCACTTTACACTTCGCGAAGGTGTATTTTATTATAAAAATAAATATACAAAAAAGTTGGTGAACAAATCAGTTGATTTTATAATTAATTATATATTTTTTTTTCAGCCCTGAAACCTAGCCATAAAACTTAAGATGTTTGTCTATAAATGTAGCCGTGAAATTTTAACTACATATGTATGTATGTATATATTTTGTTAGCATATATCGCACGAATGCGTCATATTTGTTCATATGCCTTCTCTAATTCTGCTTATCGGTGCCAGTCGATACTTTGAAGCTTAACGTTAAGACGATAAAAGCCAATGGCTAATGCAATTGCATTAGCTAGGTGCATATGTAATATTACATAACTTATATACATTTACATACATACATACATAGATTATGAATAATTATTCATTTATTAATTTTTCTTTGCGCAGCCATAGCACAGCCATTCTAACCATAAATTGCGCAGCAGATCATGCGTTTATGCGTGTTTGTGCGTGTGTGTGTATGCCGGTTAAGTGCATTTGCGCGGGTTCTGTGTGTGGATAAGAAGCGTAAGATGACTGAAAACGAACTCTACGCAGTTTTGAGGGTATATTGTAGTCGAGCACTGCCGATTACAGCACTTTTGCTTATATTTTATGCATATATTTTCACTTTCACAACCGCCGCAACTAATAAACGCGCTCACAGCGATCACAACGAGGACTCACTAGTTCAATTGGCACTAGTTCCAAGCAGAGTCATGTTCCACCAAAATATATAACGGTTTTGCTTTAATTAATTAACAAAAGTCTTTAGTTTGCTGATATGCTTAAAAGATGTAATTCCTAAATATTCTTTTTTTTACTTACTTTTTCCATAATACAATGCGATACAGCTAAACTTCTGTTAAAATATTTGTACAGTAATATGACAGCGCAATATTTTCAAACGAATGTCAATTGAGCAATCTGGCAGCGCTGTGCTCCTTTGCTGACTTTTGGAACCTGTGAACGAATAATTTGAGCTCACTTAACCAGTCTGGCATCACGGGAAGATAACTGATTTGAAATTCGCGAAAACTAAATTAAGAAATGTTGCTGGAACGTCTAAAGCGCATTTTAGGCCCTACGCTCTTTTCATTTCTTACATGGGCCTTAATTGTTTTCGCTTTCGTTGAATTTTACCTATTTATATTCAGTAGTACGAGAATTGCCGTACAGAACTACCTGCTGCCGCCCTACAAAGAGAACATTCGAGACGTCAATGTGGGCAATCGGAACGAAATGTGGGACAATCACAGCATTGCCAATGAGCTCTATCATAAGGTGCGCATCCACTGTCTGCTCCACCTAACTAACGATCGTGAGCGTCTTAAGGCCAAACACATACAAAAAACGTGGGGCACTCGCTGCAATCGAATGTACATCAGCGAGGTGTCCAATGTAAACAAGGCATATCGACGCATTGCCAGGACACAGTACGAGGACTTGGATTGGCTGCTGCACGTGCACGTGGATAGCTATGTGATTATGGAGAATTTGCGATATAAATTGGCCAGCTATCGTCCCGAGCGAATGATCTATTTCAGCGCGTCCCATGCTGCCTATCCTTATGCCCACGTCAGTTTGAAGGACACCACAGACTATATATTCAGTCGCAGTGCACTGCAAGAGATGTTGAGAGCATCGAATGATGATGATTATCTTGCCAACATGGAGCAGGGCCCCAACGAACAGCTCTTTCCATTTGAGGTGCCCGCAGAGATTCTACCCTTTACGCTGCGCCGTTACTTTTGGAACTGGCCATTCATCTACCGTGCCGTATACTCCGGACAGGTGAGTATATCTGGTATACATGTTGCTAATTATATTGTAATCATTTCTCTGGTTGCACAGGGCTTCAATAGCAACATGGAAATGCCTATAATACTACCCTATGTCGATCTGGATCAGATTTATGTACTGGAGTTCATGCTCTATCATTTGCGTCCGTATGGCCATGTCAATGGCATGCCCGCGTTGCCTGCAGAATCTGTTATGCAGCAGCCGGCGCTGCCCGTCAAAGATAAAGTTAAAATACGGCTCTACAGAGAGGTGCGCATTCTCTGCATGGTGTTCAGCTATCCACACAAATACGAGCAAGTTGTGCGCACCTTACGCAAGACCTGGGCCAGGCACTGCAACAAGCTCATTGTGTTCAGCACTCAGATGCCGAAGCATCAGGGCTTTGGGGCAGCTGATACCATAGCCTTGAATGTGACCGAGGGCTATAACCACCTTTGGGGCAAGACGAAGGCGGCCTTTAGGCATGTCTACACTCACCATTTGCACGAGGCAGATTGGTTCTATAAAGTGGATGATGATACGTATGCAATTCTGGAAAATATGCGCTTTATGCTGATTAACCATCATGCCGACGAGCCCATTTACTTTGGCTGCAATTTCCAGGCGGAGCACAGAGGACCCACGTATATGTCTGGCGGTGCTGGATATGTGCTTAGCAACGAGGCAGTGCGTCGCCTGGTTGAAAATGGAATCTATGGAAGTCAATGCAATCCCGACTCAATTGGCACCGAGGACTACGAAATGGGCGTTTGCCTAAACAAATTAAATGTAACTGCTGGCGATTCCAGAGATAAATTTAATCGATATCGTTTTCTGCCCGTTGGATTGCCCAAAATGCTAGTGCCGGGCATCATAGATAAACAGTTTTGGCTATATCATTATGTCTACTTCGTATTGAAGGAGGTATGCGCTGTGATCATTTTTGTATTGTACTATTGTTATATAATAAATCCATTATTTTAGGGCATTGAATGCTGCTCATCCTACATCATTGCCATACACTATGTGGTCTACTATCAGATGTATATATTTGAATATTTCCTATATCAAATGCGTCCATATGGCATTATACTGGGTCATGAGCCGCTTGCCAATCGTAGTCTGAATGGAATTTAGCTAGATGCGAAAGGTGTGAAGAAGCATACATGTCAAAAAGAAAAACTAATAGAGTTTAGTTGTATATTTATATATTTTTATCGGTATTCTTTTATCTATTTCTAGAGGCAGTTTCACAGTATATACACTATATATTTAATGTAATCAAGACAAGTTTAAATGAGGCTATGTCTTTGGCATAGTTTGATGCAGCAGTCCTTTACTAGGGATGCCCATTTCCAAAATTTCCATTCGTTCAACTCAAGCCAAACGGACGTAATCTATAAACCATATATTCCATGATATAAAAACATTTAATAGTCACACAGTTGAATGTTATGGCCGACTTTGAGCAGCAGCCGAGTGTAATCTGTAAGTGTATGAGAAATTAGTATAGATATTTTCGTATTAATTTGATGTATGTATGTATTTTAGTTGGCCTACATTCACAAGTTTGTTCACGAACAGCGGCAGACCGTGCTCATCGCTGCTTTTGCCAACAGCCACGCCCACATTTCGAAAGCAACGCGCAATCTCCACATGCTTAATGCCATAATTGTGACTGCTACAAATGGTGCTATTTCCATGTCCCAGAGTCACAAAACGGTGCAGCGCCTCTCTGCTAAACAAATTGCCACCTGAGCCACCTCTCGTATGCTGTTGGATGAACAATAGGAAATTTTAATAATAGATATTTTATTTTGAAACAAATTTTAGTCAGCAGAAAGTATCAAGTTATTTATGTATGGGTTTTCAAGGTTTTTTTTTTTTTAGTAATATATAATTTTTATAACTATTTCAAAAATGTAACATTGCCATTGTTTCAAAGGTTCTAAAATTCTGTTTATTTGCAAAATGTCTTTGGATTTCATGATCCTGAATTGATGTTTGGCCGATAGTATCGATTATAACGAAATAATCGTATGGAGACGAAATAATCGAAATTCAAACCGATGACTCCTTACATTTTTCTGAGCTTTTTATTCCTTCTAATGCCCAAATCTCTTATGATTTAGAGTTAATGAACAATTGGATAATAATTGAAAGAAGCAAAAACAATTTGAAATGTATATATGTAAACGGTTTTGATATGGATAGATGGATGGTTAGTTAGTTAGACAGATTATAAGTTATCTATACTTTGAGCCGAAATAGAATTTACAGTTTATTTAGATTAGACTTTATGAAAATAAAATTGTCTTATATGTTAGTATGTAACCAAATCTAGATATACAAATAATTCTATCCATGTTGTCTAATATTAAGTTTTCCATTACCAATCTATTGTCTTTAATTTCAGTCCAATTTTATTTACTTCTGAAATCCACTCACATTTTCCTTATACGCATAAGTAAAGCTATCAAAGTAAATGGGAAGTTCGGGCGAATAATCCATCAGAAAATGTTGCAGATTCTCCATGATCACATAGCTAAAAGGCAAATATGTCAAGAGTTAAGCATTAGAGATGGGCATTTACATACGTTTCATCTGTCACCATGAGGAACCAGTCGTATTGCCCATGATAATGCGTATAGACATGATGCAGATATTCCCGAGTGCGACCCCAAGAGATACTGCTGCTGCTCCTTGTGCTGCTCCACCTGGTGTTGCTGCTGCTGCTGATACTACTTTTGTAGGTTTGCTGATTCTCGTCCATCAATGGACTACTCTCATTCAGATTCTTGTGCATGCCATTGAGGATGAGCAGCTTGTGGCATCGCTTGCCCCAGGTGCTCTCAATGTGCACCCGTCGCTCCTTATCCACCGGTCGCACCGTCACCATGCAAAGTATCCGCTGGCTCCCATTGTGATCGGAGGGCATCCTCCAGCGGTACAGGGTATCTGCAGTCTGTCCATTGCTACTGGCATCAGTTGATGCGCTGCCATTGCTGTAGAATTCGTGCCGTGCCAGCTGCAGCAGACGTGAGATGCAGCTGCCAAAGATGAGGCCCAGCAGCAGCATCAGCAGCAGATGCAGTCGCTGCTCTTGCTGCTTGACGACATTTTTATACATTTCTCTTTGTTCTTCTTCTTGGCTTGGCTAACGGTATGCTGGCCTTTTGTTAACACTCGTATGTACTATGTTTATCACAAATGAAAGAAAAGAATATATAATAAAGAGAAAGTGAGAGTGAAAGAGAGAGAGAGAGAGATAGGCGATTAGAGGTCGCCCAGTAGAAGAAGATAGGGAGTGTGTGCGCTTTAGTTGTGTACAGTAATTGGTGTGGCGCAGTTAGAAAGTCACTGCAGACAATGTTTTTACAATCGACAGAATTTT